CGCATCTAGCAGGAACTCGTGCAGTGAGCAGCATCACGAAAAACTTATTGCACATTATTATGTATGAGAAATAATATATAGCAATCAAGATATATATAACAAATATTGCAAGTACAAGCGGGTGTTTAAATAATCAAGATCGAAGCATCGTACGTGTATCTGATAACTGTATAGGTACTATTTATGATGGTAATTGAAAAATATTAGTGTAAGATATGTTACCTATATATTCTTACTATGGTTCAATTAAATATGTATTTAGTTCGATGTCAATATTTTCAGTTCATTAAGCTTCATTCTATTAAATTTCAGATTTTTCATCTTTCACTTTATGAAATATTCTAATAAAATGCCACTTTGTGATTGAATTTATCTCATAATTCAATAACTTGTGGCATTACTGTTGAAAATGAACTTGACTACAGAGATACTGTTTTCGCCGATTTCCTCATTTCTCGTGAAGTGGAATTGTATATAGACACTTTATAATCTCATTAAATGATATTCATAACCGGATACGGTTCATCAAAGTATTCAAATGCGTTGAAACAATAATGATTGCTATCTAGAATTCAATTTGGATACGTGTGCCGAGATTTTCTAATCATTCAGCAAGTTGGTCCACATAACAAATAATGATTATAGTGAGATTTGTACTCCCAAATGAACAACAAAACACTGGCCACGACGTCGTCTATCTCGATTTTGTCTATTTCCCTCGTCACCATGTCTACCAGATTTATTTTGTTTGAGTATCCTGTCAAACTAGAACTAGACCACAACAGCAATACCAGTCAGACGAACTAGAGAATCCCAGTCAGCAGATCCTTTCGTTGTCAACCTCGAAAGATGTCGAACAGCACTTTATCAAAACTCCTTCATCCATAGAACGGCTAGGCTCTGGAATTCATTGCCTGAGGAAGTATTCCCAACAACATATAATCTCCAGAAGTTCAAAAAAAAATCCAATACCTACCTCCTATCCCTATATCCTCCCTAGGAACGCACGATGTTCTTTGAACATTATAGGGATTCCTTTTCGTGCGCTCTAAGCGATAAAAAAAACTTCTCAAGTCTTCCTTATCTGAGGATTCCTTGAGGACTCCTCAGTACTTGACGTTGAACTTGTTCTATAGCCCTCCCTTGAGTATTCCTTTTAAAAGGAGCCCTTACACTTGGCAACAGTGAAAAATTTCAGTGGTCTGTGACCAAATTTGTTGAATCATGTCACGTGTTTGTTACAAAATGTAAAATGTCAAATTTGACAATGTTTACCGTTGAGTGTGGACATCGAAAGAATCTAGTTTTCTAGTCATAATCTTCAAAGGTTGGTTCAAATTGGGCTTAACAATATATTACTTCGATCACAGACAAAATATATCCAAGGTTTCGCAAAATAAAAATGGGGTCGAAGAGATTATCAATGACGTTGTTGGAAAATTCCAATACCAAGAATTAGTATATTAAGAACGGATTATCCATTTAATTGAATACTTCGAATGAATCCGTGATTTTGTGTAGTTGTTCATTGAAAATGTATGTATTTCAATTTCATGAACAAATCATCAAGATGATACCTATATATAATTGTAAATATTCTGAGTTTTCATTATTCGTAATACCGGGTGTAACAGGATCATGGTACACCCCCTTTTTCTCCTTCAGCTTTAGAGATGAATGATTGAAATTGTGATTTATCACCAAATCATGTTCATCAATATGGTTTGGTGTACCATGATCACTGTTACACCCGGTATATACCTATTATTGGAAATAAAAAAGATTTACTTTTCAAACAAACTTGAATCAGCTTCTACTGGGAATCAATATACTCGAATCAGATTCTTTGTACGAATTTCAGGACTTGAATATTCATTTGATTACTACATTCAATTTCATCAATCTATTCATAGAATCCATATCAGGACCTGAAATTATAATATAAATTGGATCAAGGAATGCTCAAAGTACGTCTTCACATTCCTTGGAATTGAGGTTTCCTTGAGGCTTCCTTCGAAGTTCGAACTCATATTACGACTATAAATTGGAAACTGGTCCTTAAGAGTGCCTCAAGGGACACCTTAAGGAGCGACTATAAAAACGGGCCTTATAAACTCACACGAGGATTTTCTAACGAAAGATTTGAAGAGGCCGTTAAACCTCATCAACTGGTGATTCTGCTATAAATCATTCAATCAATTAATCAATGGCACTCGAATGATACCGATCGTGAAAATCGGATGGATTTTTTATGCGTTTTTTGACTCAAATTTTGACTTCCTCAATTAGACATAGTCGACTAATCTCTGCCTCAATACAGCTGACAACAGAAAATCAAGCTATCTTTTGGTGTATAGTCTATTCAAAGTAAATTGTAACATCTCCTGCACCGTGCAGCGTCGGCAGGTTTGAAGTTCCATTTGAAGTGAATGCACGTGCGGCTCGAAGTGGTTCAATTGACTTTGATTGAACTATACTGCTGCATACTTCGCAAAACTCATTCTATATATATCTTTGCATAGGTAGGAAGATTTTTTAGTTTTCCAGAGACCAGACTGCTAAGACGCAGTGGATTGACTTCTGTAGACTAGGAGAATGTGAAGATGTGAAGTGTTCGTCTCCGACAGAGCATCTCATTCTGTGTATATTGGTGACGTTCATTCCAAATATACTTAATTGATTTGCTTTTTCCATGAATAATGTTTTCATTCGAGCTGAATGCTTTTATTACAATGTATTCGAATCAAATTATTCTACGACACGTTTTTAATGAATTATCTACATCGTAACATGAAATTTGCAATAATCTTTTCAAAATGAGATCAACTACCTCAGTTCTCACTGTTCTAGATAATGACCTCCACATATTTGTTTTTTCTTTGTTTAGTATTGTAGCTATAGGATTTCAAAATTCTCGCCTTATTCAACTGTGAAATGCTGACTTGCGCAGTGAAGATCTTGGTATTTCTGATGAATTATTTCCCTCTTCGTTTGATGCTGGCGTATTTTACACACATAGTTGATGATATATATATATATAGGCGATTAGCATTCCATTTGAGCAGAGCGAGATCCTGAATGGACAACCTTTTCACCATTAGAATGTAAAAGTGCAATGGTTATGGTCTTGTAGGACGAATGACAACGCGGCAACCGCCATCAAATTTGAAACAAACGATAATTTTTTATTCTTGGATTCGCGATTGTATAGAGCATTTAAGGAACTATCAAAATATTTGATCTGTTTGTATCGAAGACAAATCATGCTCCATGCAGCTGGAAAAGATATGACGATATAGTAGTCTTCGTTGCTAACTTATGAAAGTTTCATTGAACCGACCCAGGCCGACTGTTCAGTCCGTGGTAGAACCCGAAGATTGATCAAACCGGAAGATTGATCAAACCCGGATTGAATTTGAAACCCAGGTTATAATCACTTCCGTTGTCCAGCAGAATTTCCACCATGAATGAAATACAAGATTTGGCAGATGTCATGAAAAAGAAGGAAATTCTGCTAGTTTATTACAATAATGTGTCAATAATGTGTCACCAGGCACTCCTGAACAAGTTGCTTCCCTATGGTCTGCCGCCCCTACTATGCCGTTGGATTACCAGCTTCCTTAAAGATCGAAGTCTTCATGTAGTTGTTGACGGGATTACAATTCTATCTCCAACGCTTTTCTTACTACATATCAACGATCTGTTGCACATGACTACCAACCCTCTCTTCAGTTTTGCTGACGATACCACTCTTATAGCACCATACTCCTCTGATACACCAATATCCGCAGCAACCAACCAAGGCCTACGTTTGCAACAGATCCAAACCGTCAACGACGATTTGGAAAGGATCCAACAATGGGGCAATTTGAACCTCGTACAATTCAACGCTTTGAAGACTCAAGCAACAGTTTTTTCTAAGAAGGCTAACCGTGCGGGTCCTGATACAATTATGGCTGGAAGAACCTTACCAATCAGTTCATCACTATCAATGCTCGGCATCACGGTATCTGACAGTTTATCTTGGCATGACCATGTTGCCAATATAGCCAGAGCTGCCTCTCAAAAGCTGGGATTCCTCTTCCGCGCGAAGAAGTATTTCACCTCACAACAGCTTCTGACACTCTACAAAGCCCAGATTCGACCATCCCTTGAGTACTGTTCGCACGTCTGGGGATCAGCTCCAAAACACTCCCTGAGGTTGCTGGAGTCGGTTCAAAGAAGAGCCATCAGGCTCATCAATGACCCAACTCTGACAAGATCACTGCAAACTTTACAACATCGGAGAGACGTTACAGACTTATTACTCTTCTATCGCTACTATCATAGACGATGCTCTGTTGAATTGTCATCAGCTGTCCCCCCTGGAATGACCTTTGTTTCTCCAAACGCGGCTGGCTCAAGTCTCACACCAATATGCAGTCAAAATTGAAACACCTAGAACAACATATTTCAAGAACTCCTTCTTTTGTAGGACATCTTCACTGTGGAATTCTTTACCCACAGATGTATTTCCAGCGAACTACAATCTATTTACCTTCAAGAGGAGGATCCATCGATACTTGTCCCTCCTTAGTGCTCGCAGTTCCACCACGGGATTATAGGTCCAACCTTTTGCGAGCACTTCCGAATAAAAAAAATTAAAAAAATAATGTCAATATAAACCAAATTTTTAAGTGTTTTCCTTCTGATCGTAACAAAAATAGATTCATTGAATTCATTGAAGGCTCCAATGAAATGAAATGCTGCATGCAGGCAAGATAGAGGGGAAATACTAGCGAGTCTCGTTACCAATTCCTGCCAGAAGTGAAGGGAATACCACAGACAGATTAACGAAACCAGGCATTAAACCAGGATATGAGTTCGAACGACTTGAGGTTATTCTGCAGGATATTCCTTACTCAACAACCGGTCCTTGTCTACCGTTAAAATATCTTGACATGGCACAGGTGCATGTTGGAAGAAATAACTGTGGATTACTGTACAACCGGCTCTCTTACCTGATACAACGAGTTTCCCGTAACGTAGGAATGAATGTAATGAGATCCGTACTTCCTAATGAACAACAAAACACCGGCCACGTCTCCGATCTGGATCTTGTCTATCTCCTTCGCCACCACGTCTGCCAGATTTATGTTGTTGGGAATCCTGTCCAGCTTGACGATATCCCGGAACCTGGACAACCGCACCAGGACGTAGCAGTGGTCCCGCAGGACGAACGACGAGTTGATGCCCAAGTTCCGGGCCAACGTCTCCGGGGCCCACGAGGACGTGAATGCCTTCCACGGCTGGTCGAGCCTCTCGAAGAAGAAGTCTCGGAAGTAGGCCTGGACGAGTTGGCGGGAGTTGTCGCAGAACTCCATGTGGAAGTCGCCCTCGAAGACGCGCTTCTGCTTCTTGGGGACGCGATCGGGATGCGTGGCGAATCGGTCCAGGTCGTTGAAGATGTCGATGGTCGGTTCGCGGAAGATCCAGTCCGATTCGTTTTTGGCCACCACCTGAAAACGGATATACAGAGGATTTTCTATATTTTGGTATAGCCGAATACGTTCAAATTTCGAAATATTTCCATTCCGATCAATGGGCCTGTTTCAGTGAAAAACATTATTGTATTATTTCGAAGTATTAACTTGTTTACTGTCGCAAACCGTTTTCTCCTCAGAGCTCGGTGACTTTTTCAAATAATTATTGAAATTCACGACATTTCATTTATTTATTTATTCATTTATTTATTTATTCATTTATTGAAGTCATATAGGATAACAACAGGCATAACCCAAAGTGTTATCCACGGATACAGTTGAGCGTACAGAAAAAAAATATACAGATTACAATTTTCGCTTAACCTAACACTACTTCAAGAAACATTTGATGTCAGCTATGAAATTAAGTATTTCTCTTTTATTTTCGATTTGAATACAAGTAGTGAATGATTGAATAACTCAATATCATCGAACTTTAGGTACGCACGCTGTTCCACGAACATTATTAGAATTTCCTATCTTGCGCTCCAAGATATAGACAAAAATTACATATATATATCTCTTTATTTAGTTGAAAAACTAATTTATTCAATTACGACACATCCCTATTTTTTATTGATCATTCCGATTATAGATAGTAGGTGATTATCATCTAGTAAAATCTAACAAATACTGCGAATATTCTAAGATGATCCTCATACTATCTGATTCTTCTGTTATCTACAGTTAGTACCCAGTCCACAAAATTCATTTCATATTTTGATAAAAATGACAATCAGAAATAGGGAATGGATAGTTACGTACATAAGCGAGTACGTAAATCGAATCTTATATGGATGGATAGGATTGGTCACGGGTGATTTCCGTATTATAAAATATTGTGAATTTCAATAACTATTCAAAAAAAATTACAGAGCTCGTAGGAGAAAATGGTTTGTGACAGTGGACTAGTACCGGTTAGTGCTTCGAAATAATGAAAACATTTTTCACTGAAACAAACCCATTAAAGAACGTACTTATGCTAAAGTAGGTAGTGGGAAAGTGGGAATTTACTGAAAAATTACCTTCATCGAAAGGCTGAGATACCCGTATCTGGTGAAGATGTCGATGGACCTGCCGACCTTTAGCTGGCTGTCTTCGTCCTGCGAAGCTGCCGCTGTCAAAGAGGCCAACAACAGAACGAACAGCTGCGCACGGCCCCACATCCTCCACGACACGGACACCTGAAACAAACAACGGTGATTATAAGAATCCTCGGAAATAGTCCAAGTTAGGACTGGGCAAAAATATCGATATTTCCAAACATATCGATAATACGATACCAAAGCATACATCGATGTCAATATCCAGTTTTCGATTTCACACAGCACTAATTTCTACCAAAGGGCAGAAGTTAGCTTTTGTCTGATCCTCTGATCAGTCTAATCCCAAAAGGAACAGACGAGTGCTTTCTTCCAAACAACGTTAACTAGGAAATAACTAAAATTAAAGAAAGAAGAGAAAAACATATTATGCAGTGCACATTTTGATGCGACTTCTAGAAAACGATCACTGAATAATACTGCTATACCCTCGAAGTTCCTATAGGCACACATCTTATAGAACTTTAAGTCGAGCTTAAAGTGAAACGTTAGACTTCAAACCTTGATTTCCACCAATAATAGACCAATGTCAACGGTTTCTCATGCATTAGCAATACAGTTCTCTTTGTCTGCATTGCATGAGTTCATGCGAGTAAGTAGGTAATAACTTTTCGTTATTCTGGCACGATTATTCTGTTTGAAATAGGTCCTTGTCGGCTGAGGTTTTGTGAACCTATTAAAAGGTATTGGCAAATCGAATGTAATAAATGGCAAAATCGTGGCTACAGAATTTTTACCGCAACGTTATGACCCAATAGACTTGATACAAAATGAATTCGAGTGCAGTGCAATGGATCTTCGACATTCATTAATGTTTAGTAATTTTTCACAATGGATCGGGTGTTAAACCGACTTGAACAATAGCTATAATCAACACATGAAAAGAAATTAATCTTGGCTCCCACACATAGGGTGTTGTACATATGATATCTGTAGATAGAGGACACTTTGGCGGTTCCAAATCGCCCCTATACGTGTGTCTACCATTCTATAACTGATATAGGCAGGATGTTATTTTGATTTTAACAAAATCTGTATGTGATCATATAGCCTTTGAACCACTTTGTATAATCAATTCAAACTGGTACACGGTAGGTATAATTCTCTTATATAGATACCTACTCCCTCAAAACCAGGTGGAAAGAAATAAGAATCCAGGTCTGTCCTCAAGAAATTATTTACTTTTTACGAGCGCGCAGCCAATTTGATATGTGTGACCAAGTGTATAGCCAATGGCAAAATTGGATGGACTATTTTTAGATTTGTTCATTGTTGATGAAATAACTAACATCAATAATATTTATAGATTAGGTGCGGGAAGTAGACAATAGTTATTTATGCAACAAGTGCAAAAAGTGAATGTTTATTGCATTCGACTTGAAATTGTCGAGTGGACAACACGTCGAGTGCAATAAACAATTTTTGCACGAGTTGCATACAACATTTTTTCTACGTTCATGCAAAAAGCAAAAAATGATTTATTGAGGTGCGGCACAGGTACAATTCTGTTAATTGTCAGAATTAATTTTTGACTGACGTTTCTATAACCACAGTTGCATTATAGAAAATGTTTGTCAATATGACAGCACGTTGAAGTAGAATGACAGATGAGTGCAATAAAAACTTTATTGCACTAAGTGCAATAAAGAACTTCTTTTTCCACTAAATATAGTTCAATAAAGTTCTGTTTTTTGCATGAATGTTGAAAAAATAAATTTGACACTTCTGCCATTAATTTTATGAATTTGATACTACAATTTGAATGTAAGCAAATGTATGATATGTTTTCAGTTCAGGAAATGAATTGATATTCATCTTTTAATAGTGATGAAGACATTAATAATTGATGGATTCAATGGTTTCAGCAAAGCATGCTGAAAAGGCGATATTATTGTACTTCTACAATGGGAGGAATTTTTTATTGATACCCAATTATGCTTATTCGAAGGATACCTCTAATACTAGAATCTGCTAGTATGATCAAAGTGTACCAATGAAAGACAAAAACCTAAAGTATTTGTGGATAACTACTGGTCTACTCTTTAAAACACTCACTCTAGGTCGTCGTGCTCAAAAAATCGCGTGTTAGATCGACACAGGAAAGTTGTTTGTATGTTTATTTTGACGAGCAGAATCTATATTGTTTTAGTAAAATAATTTCAGTAAAATAATGTCAGTAAAATAATTTTGAAATACCTGTATTTAATAAAATAATTGATTTTTGATACCACTACAACTATCTACTTCTTTCTCAGTTAGGTAAGGAATATGTTTTACTGCTCTCTTACTGTAGCAAATTGGATAGTCTTGTGAGATTTCTCAAGGTTATTATCGCTACTGTCTATAGTTTGTTTCATGTATAAACATATCAAATATTAAAGCGTTAGGTAATGAAGTAATTAATTTTTGAAATTTGATAGGAACTCTTTGAATGTAGGTAATCAGAACAGTAACATCGAGAAGTAAATTCATGTGAATAGTGCTCGATGTTATGCTCGATGTTATGTTAAATAATAATTTAATTTTCCAGTGGAATATTCTCGGAAATATCTTAGAGTCAAAAATGTCAAAATTGAATGAATATCTAAATGAGTACATAATCCATATTCAATTTATAGACGGATTAGCCGTTCAACCTTTTTATTCCTTGTGTGTACTGCTTCCTGAATACATTATTCTAAAACAGCAAGGAAAAATTTATTTCAAAGATTGTTAGGTTTCGGATTTGTTGGTTGTGTGGACTTTTGTGCGATATTTCCAACCATGTCCAACTGAATATCATAAGGGAAACAACAATTTTGAAAAAATTCTTCGATCTATTCAAAATTGGTATCGGGTGGTTTTCGGAGTCGGAGATAATGATTTTATTCTTTAAAATTTGGAAATTTAAGATGGCGGATCCAATATGGTGAAAGAGCTTTGTCGAGAGCTTTGTAATAAATAGTAGTTTGAAAAACTATAATGAAACACGCCTTTATAGATAGCCAAACTCGAGGCCAAACTGAATAGAAGTAGAAAATTGATAGTATAGTTTGAAAACGAGTTAGATTGTCGAACTAAAGAGAAGTAGAAAATAAAAATAGTAGTTTGAAATACTAATGAAACACGATTTCATGGATATCCAAACTAAAGAGAAGTTCAAAACGCAATAATAAAAGTGTGTTGATGAATATTTAACTGAAAAAATATTTTCTAGAAGAAAATTTATATAGCAAAACAACGTGTGCCAGGTATCAGCATCAGCTATTGTAATAAATAGTAGTTTGAAGAACTAATGAAACACGTTTTTATAGATAGCCAAACTAAAAAGAAGTGAGTAGTGAATAAATGAAAAAATGAAGAGATATAAAGTGCCGAACTAAAAGGAAGTATAAATAAAATAATGAAAGTTCTTTGATAAATATTTATGTAAAAATATTTTTTCTAGAAATAATGTTATGGCAAAACAACGTTTGCCGGGTCAGCTAGTATAATATATATTTGTATTATCGATATAAGATAATTACGAGTTGACGGCACTCCAAAATTTCTTCGGTATTTTTTTCATTTTGTTTTACATTTCTCTTATTTTATATAATTTACATTTGTCATATTATATTATATTATTTACTGAAACATGCTTTGTCAATAAGGTCAATAATATTTGACAATGAAGTTTATTTTCGATTGATTGATTGATGACTTATTTCCCGATATAACTAGTTTTTATTATCAAAATGTGAGAAACATTGAATAACAAATTTGTTAGGTATCTGGAATACATTGCCTTTATAGTTTCAAATTCAAATGTAAAACATGTCTCCGATGAGTTTAGTTGAATATGACTCACTATATTTTTATTGAATCTCGCGAACCATTCAAAATTAGAGCACCAAATTTGTGAAAAAATTTGCTGAGAGTCCAGGCTAAGTCCTCATGTTCCATCGATGGTCCCATTTTGTATCATATGGGCGCGGGCGATTTTCAAACGTTACATTGAAAAATTGTCGAAATTTCAATTTTCTCAAATGGCACCTACTTTTTCAAAACCATATAGAAGAAAATTGATCTTGAGGATGGGTTACTTAAGCATTCCCTATACCTAACTCAAACCTCCATCGAGTTATTCAATAATAATCAAGAAATCAACGAAACATTTTTCTCCGTGTTTACGGTGGTGTAATTGAAAGTAACAAATTTTGAGCAAATGAACATCAAAGGCAGCATCAATGATTTCGTATCTGGATAGTTGAGTGATCTGTGGCATAGGTGCTTGAGACCTCACGGCAATAAGATAAGGCATTCCTTGATTTTCATAAAATAACTCTATGACGGTTTGGGTTAGGTATAAGGAATGCTTGAGCATTGTCGTTCTAAATGACAATCTAGTAAGGTAGTTAGTAGGCGAGAGCTATAATATTAGTTGCGTTTTATTTGCAACTTTTCCGATTCCGGTTGCTACTTTCCATTTCGTCTCATTACAAGAAATGACGTGAAATGACTGTTGACAGTTGTCAAAAAATTGAATTAGATTGACGGGAAACTAAACTTTTCCAAAGTAGAAGACATTTAGAAAACATTTTTATCGTTAGGTTTACAAGTTTATGATTCTTTCATAAATGTTCATTCCCAGATAAAATGATTTCTCTCGATTTCACAGAAGTTTCTCCACAATCACTGCTACAAATATTTGTTGGTTGATTTTCTAGACTCTTAGGTCTAGTATTATAATTTTGAGATAAATTGGAGCACCAATATATACATATAACCTCATACCATAAGGTCATGAAGTTTCTCGTTTTATTTTTAAGCGTCATTCTCTTCCCACCACCGCTACCAGAATGGATCAAATAAAACGCAACTATTGTCTGTTCATTGAAAGAAAAATGACAATCACGACCATCAGTAGCACAGAGACATCTACGTGAACTAAGTAAACTAAGTTATCCATTTTGTATTCCTAACCGAAAAAATTTTCATGTTCCTGTAAAGTTTGTAAATAAAAATCTGTCATGTTGAAACCTGATGATGAAACAGCGAAAGATATTATCAAGTATGAAAATCATCTACTTTGGATATTTTATCATTGTCTTCAGAATACA